TGTTTGTGTGTGTGTGTCTGTGTGCGTGACTGAGTGTGTGCGCGCGCGCATGTCTATGTGTATGTGTGAATAAAAACAAAAGGAAAACCGTCAAGTTTTTCTTTTGTCTTCATATATATATATATATATATATATATATATATATATATCTGGATACTTGTCAACACCAAGCTGCGACAATCTGTTTCAAACATCAACCCAATCTTCAAGCTAAAAGATTGTTTTTGTATTTTATATTTATATACGCTCTATCTCTATATTGAGCATTTTTGTTCATAAATAAAATATGCTTTAAAACTATATTTTTAACACACACGCGCGCACACACACACACACACACACACACACACATACATATATATATATATATATATATATATATATATATATATATATATAGTCCCTTCCAAAATTATAGGAACGGTAAGGCAAATTCATTTGTTTTATTGACTGAAGACATCTGTGTTTACAATCAAATGGTGATTATGAGACATTGCTTTTATTTTTCGTGGACAGCCATTTCTTGATTGTGATGGCGTCATACCAAGGACTGCTATTTATAAGTAATTTGTTTCATGGAAGAGAAGTGAAACTCCAAATCGTTTTGATAGCTTTTTGTAGCCTTCTCCAACATTATAGTTTTTTTTTAAAGCTTCAAGTTCTTTTGATCTTTGTATATATATTTGTTTAAATTTAGTCTCTAACTGAACACTTTGGCATGCAAAATGAGTTATATTGTTTGACTGCAACATACACAGATTACTAAAAATAAGAACACGCGTCATTTTGATTTTTGCAAAAATTATTTGCACTGACAATCATGTAAAAGAAATACACAGAGTGTAGATATAAGGGTTCACTTACTTTTTTTAGATCTTAATTTTTAATTCATATCTTGATTCTAGCTTCATAAAAATCTTTGTAAGCGGTTGTAATCGATTTAATAAAGCTTTTCTCGTCATGAATATATAGTCTAATTACGATTTGTTCATTATCTGAAGGAAAAGAAAATTATTTTTAATATTATCTGAGGAGTTTACTTACTTTTAAAGAACAGTAAATATACTCGATCAAACAAACTCACCCGAATTGTACACCATGCATGCACCAGCCAAATTCACCCGAATTGCATACGATGCATACACCAACTCACCCGAAACGTACAGCAAGTATACACCAAACAAATACACACGAACTGTACAGCATTCATGCACCAACCAAATCGTACAGTATTCATACATCAACCAAACTCATCCGAATCGTACAGTATTCATACATCAACCAAACTCATCCGAATCGTACAGTATTCATACATCAACCAAACTCATCCGAATCGTACAGTATTCATACATCAACCAAACTCATCCGAATCGTACAGTATTCATACATCAACCAAACTCATCCGAATCGTACAGTATTCATACATCAACCAAACTCATCCGAATCGTACAGTATTCATACATCAACCAAACTCATCCGAATCGTACAGTATTCATACATCAACCAAACCCATCCGAATCGTACAGTATTCATACATCAACCAAACTCATCCGAATCGTACAGTATTCATACATCCACCAAACTCATCCGAATTGTAAACAATTCATGCACCAAACAGACTCAAATGAACTGTACACCATTCATACACCAACGAAATTCACCCGAAATGTAGACCATTCATGAACCAACCAAACTCACTCAAATTCTACATCGTACATACACCAAACAAACAAACCCGAATCGTATAGTATTCTTACATCAACTAAACTCGCCCGAATATTACACGTTTCATACACCAACCAAACTCACCCGGATTATACACCATTCATGCACCAACGAAACTACCCGCATTGTACACAATTCGTACACCAACCAAACTCACCCGAATCGTACAGTATTCATACATCAACCAAATTCCCCCGAATTGTACACCATTCATACACCAACCGAAAGCACCCGAATCGTACACCATTCATACACCAACCAAACTCATCCGAATCGTAAAGTATTCATAACCAACCAAATTCCCCCGAATTGTACACCATTCATACACCAACGAAACACACCCGCATTGTACACCATTCACGCACCAACCAAACTCACACGAATCGTACAGTATTCATACATCAACCAAACTCGCACGAATTGTAAACCTTTCATACACCAACCAGACTCAAATGGACTGTACACCATTCATGCACCAACCAAACTCACTCAAATTCTACACTGTACATACACCAAACAAACAAACCCAAATCGTACAGTATTTATACATCCACCAAACTCACCCGAATTGTACATCTTTCATACACCAAACAAACTTACCCGAATTGTACACCATACTCACACCAAACAAACTTACCCGAATTGTACACAATTCATACACCAAACAAATCCGCTCGAATTGTTTCGTGTGGCATTGAGCAATTTTGCCGCATCGATAAAATATTTTTGCCTCGGGGGAATAAAGGTTCCCATTTCCGCACGACAGATGCCGACCGCCTGACGATTGTGGAAGTAAAAATTTAATTAAAATTGACTCCAAAGAAATATTTTTAGTTCCTTTTCCCTGGTTTACATATTAAACGGCGTATGTTTGGGTCCACCGAATGAAATATTGTTTAACTTGACACATCCAGGAAAAACATTAAGAAAGTATTTTAATTCATTAGACCCAATGTACTCTTGCGCTTAAACAAAAAAATTCTCTTACAAACTATCGTTTTTAAGCAAATTTGCATTAATGAAAAACTGTTACCCTAATGAACATGCACTTACATACAAACCCACACTCATACCTCTCTATATCCATATAGATGGGAATATACAGTGCTGTGCAAAAGTAAGTGTCCCCCTAAGATGACATTTTAAAAAATTGTCTCTCTTTCCAGATGATCAACATACCTTAATTAAACTATACATTCATTAAGAAAAACCTTTATTAAATCAATTATAACCACTTTCAAAGATTTTTATGAAGCCGGAATAAAAATATGAATTCAAAATTAATTGAACCCTTACATTTATATTCTGTTTATTTGATTTACATATTAAGAAATAAACATATGGCAACGTAGCCGGGGCCGCGGCCTGCTGTCTTTGGTCAGGATCGAACCTGGTATCGTAGAATAAGCCGTCAGCCCACACTCGTCGGTCGTTGGTGGCGTTTGACACTGCAGCTGGTCTTTAAGATGACCTCTTCAACTATGACCTCTCTTACCCACGTTGTGATTTTTGATGAAGCTGAATTATCACTGGGGTATCTCAACCAAGCTAAACTAATGACTTAAATACGCGCACACAAAATTGAAAATAAAATAGACGTCACCTGAATAAGTCACTAGATGATATTTATATCAAAAGAAAAAAATATTCAGTTCTGTTTTTTTTCTTCTTTTCCCAACCTGTTTCTAATATTTGGCGACGGAACGAAAATTTCTGCTGATTCTCTAAGCGTGGCCAGACTTGACAACTGGATTTATCTTCAAGTACTATTGTTTGCACTTTCAAGAACGACACAAAGTTATCGTCAGTTTTTCATCTTCAGGAGATTATTATTATTATTATTATTATTATTATTATCATTAGTTTGGCAAAACAGTGTTATGGCAAAAAATCTCTTAACAACTCGACGCGGTTTCTGCAACTCTGGGCCGCAACTTCACCTCCAACTAACTGCAACTCCAACTGCAACTCCAACTAACTCCAATTACTTTAGCCCCCGTGGGCACTTGTATTTATGAGTGTCCCTTTCTGCGCATAAGGGGGTTTTATGCAAATATCCTAAAATTCAACCAGTCTCCTTCTTTCGTTTTCTGTTTCACACTTCCAATTTTGGATGATCCCCACCTCCATCGAAAGGAGCCATTATATGACGTCAATCTTCCTGATGTCTCCTTCTTTCGTTCTCTGTTTCACACTTCCAAATTTGGAAGATTCTTCCTCCTTCGGAAGAAGCCATTATATGACGTCAGCCTTCCTGACGTCTTCCCCTGCCTTCACAATTACTCATTCTGGTTATAATTTTTTCTCAGGGAAATTTTGGCTGACAATTTTTCCAGTACGTGGACATTGACACCTTTCAACAGACGACTTTAACCTTTGGCCTCTGACTCCTGCACTTGTTCGCTGTCTCTCGCCAGGCAGCAAAAATAGTATTTTGTATTTTTTACAACCTGTTCTCAATATCCTGGGAAAAGGAATCCCTTTCTGACAAAAATTAAATAAAATCGTTTTCTTTAACACTTTTCGTCCGTATGCCATGTTAAATATTGTTACAAGCATATCTTACATTGATTGAACAAATTATTCAAGTGTAATTTTTTGGGTCAACACCGTTTCTATAGTTCTTTTTATTGCGAGATATTTTACTGTAGGGGTAGATTACTATTATTGTTTTTAAAATATTTAAATGAAGTGTAGTTTAATTTTGAATTTGAATTTAGGCCCAGATTAGCATTTAAGATTGAAAATAACGTTGGAAATAAGAATTATAATCTTCAATCAAAGCAGTGATGTCTTGATAATGAAAAACAAATCCTAGAAGACACCCCCCCTTTCAAAACTATAAATGAGTAAAAAACATTCCGTTGCATAGTTATTCCAAACATCACCTGCCACTCGGTAATTAGGGTTTAATATTGAAATTAAACCTGAATACTGCTGACCATTTTCGAAATATAGTAATTTCTGTGTCGCGATGGAATCATATTTTAAAATTAATTATAATATATATATATATATATATATATATATATATATATATATATATATATATATATATATGTATGTGTGTGTTGAAAACGATACATGATTTTTACATATCACGGACACAGGAAAAATATGACACACATAGATATATAAATATAAGTATATATGTACGTTAGTAAAAATAGCGTTCATATAGATATAAACAAGGTATGGCGACAGTCTTTTTCATGCTTGAACACAATATTCTGTCCAATGTCTGAATATTGTTGCATTAAACAAAGTGTTGTCTCTCGGTGCTGATCTTTGTGTACGCGATGCTTATATTTATATAGACTCTATTCTATTGATATCAAACAACTTTACTCCATAAATAAGGCATACCTTAAAACTTGCCACCTATCTAGTACTGCACTTAAATTAATAATATCTTGGTAACATAGCTAAGAGTTCATTCGACCAGTTACCCTGAAAATGGTTATAAAAAATGAAACAGGGAAGCTACATTACGGTAGTAGGATAGTGACTGAGCCAGAGATGCCAGGTCAAGACCAATAATATTGCTGATTCTTATCAAGAATCTATAAATATACAACAGGAGCTCCGGACCAGGTTTAGCAGGAATATTCAAAGCAAAGAGGAAGTTTTAGAGAAAATCAAAACAAAAAAGACTCTTATAATTAACATAAAGAAGAGACAGTTGAAACTTCTAGGAGACAAGGAAAATTTGATACTCTCTGGACAGACTGAAGGTAAGAGTTACAGAGGAAAACAAGGTATAACCTACATAGCGAGCTTGGGTAAATAGATGACGAAGCTAGGTTTAGGAGAGTTAACAAAAAGACAAAATTTATTAAGAGCTACAAAGGACAGGAAAATGTGGAGAGCCATAATCGTCATTGTCCTGGAGAAACATGGCTCATAGAAGAAGAACAATTCAAACAGCAACACACTTATCTTTCTTTCTATATTTAATTTAATTTTTTCCTTTATTTTTTTTTTATTGGTACTTACTCATATCGATCACATTCATTTCTTTTTGGTTTGGTTTTGCAATCACTGCCGGAATATGTCACTCCCATTTTTCATCGTTAAAACGACATTCAAACATTGTAAAATGGATGAAATTGTTGATATTGCTTTGAGATTGTTGAAATATCAACGAGTTAATCACATGAAAAGCCATTCGTACGTAGTAACACTCATGTTCAATAGACCGTTTTCGCATGACAGTCCCCTTGAGATATAAACACTTTCTGTTGGATTAACATTATTCTGAATCTACTCTGCAGTTTCAATCAATCCATTCGGACGTATTTGTTCTTACGGCAAAAATCTATATTGCTCACAAACAAAACCAACGGGACCCACAGATAAGTAATAAACTATCCTTAGTTCCACCAGTTCTAAACTTCACTGCTAAAACTCACCATGATACGCACATTATTCCGAACTACCCTTAATTCCTTCGTATTCCATTTTTGAGATGTAAGTTCCACTCAAGCAAATTTTTCCCACGAACCGCTGCGCTGTGAAACCGACTCCCAAAAGGATATTTTCCGATCATTACAAATATAACTTATTTATGTCGAGGATTAACCGTTATCTTATTCAGAAGCCCGCATCAATTGTGTCAATTATGCTGTAACCCTCTACCACAAGTGGCTCCGGGGCCGTATAAAAAGTGAACAGTACTGTAAAAAATAAATATTGGATACGTGAGAGTCAAAATGAACAATATGATTCTATCAACACAAGAAAGAAATACTGGTGAAAAAATAAAGAAAAAATGCAAGGATACGATCTTAGGTGAAAGTATCGAATTAATATATAAAGTTCTGACATTTCTGTTAATCAAATGCCCGAACAAGTCCACAGTGTCGCCATTGAATGCACGCCAAAGCCAAGCTGCATTTAAAGTACTCTCTTACGTCGTTCATGTCGTTTTAGCTCTAAATTCAGGGCGATTTGTTTTGATTCTTTTCAACAGAGAGGCGCGAAAACAAAAGTTTTTCCTTCTTGTACTTGTAATTGCTTCTTCCAGCATATTTTTGTCGTGGAGCATTCTTTATCGCTTGTTTTGCAAAGATGGATTTTTACAGATGCGCGATCGCTTGCTTGATTTGGAAATTCACATCGAAGATGAAAAGAAACTGATACATATGACTCAAAAACTGAAAAATTGGTTAATTTTTTCTCTAACGTTCGAATGTTTCACAACAATAACGATATGGTTATCATTAATGTTTATACCCGAAGAAAATTCAGTATTGCCAATGTTTACTTCATATCCAATAACAGCCGAGAGTGACGCCTACATAATTGTCTCTGTGATTTTTATAATTTTACTAATCATTAGCAACTTCTGGATCCAAATCGTTGACATTATTGCCATTTGGTTGATGTCATTTCTTCGAAATGAGTTTGATTGTCTAGCAGAATCTTTCCGAAGAGATTTTCCTCGCAGCGATGCTAAGCAGAAAATTAATTTAAGCGAAAATGAAAGAAATTCTCGTATCTTTGAAATCTACCAGAATCATGTGAAATTATGCGACGTCTTAGATTCGACGAATTTCCTTTTGCCGCACTTATTTGAGCTTTATCTTTCGGTTACAATTGCCCAGATCTGTCTGCTAACTTACGAACTAATTCATAATTCGATGGAAACTGTGGAATTCGTTTATTTGATAAGTATAGTTATTTCCAACGCTGTTTCATCTTTTTTTTACTTAGCAAAAAGTCTTAAATTGCATATAAGCGTAAGTATTTTCTTATATTTGATAAAATCAACTTTCGTTTTGCCCAAACGGTTAGACATCAATAAGTATCTTAAACAGATTGATTGTTGCTTCCACGTGAAAAGATTTGTGAGTTCACTAGAGAAAATGGTAACATTGTCTTTTTCTTTTGCCAGCATTGCATTATTTCTTTAGATTTCACACCCAACTTTCCTCATTCCAACATTTTTTCTCTTCTCACTTTCCCAATTATATTGGCATGTACAAAATGAACAAATAACCAGTTGATCTATCTATCTATCTATCTATCTATCTATCTATCTATCTATCTATCTATCTATCTATCTATCTATCTCACTCACTCTGTTCATTTCTATCTATCTATCTATCTGGGTAAAAAAGGGCTTAATCGGACTAATGTTTATATATATATATATATATATATATATATATATATATATAAAAACTAATTTATTTACACGATCCTTTCCCTCGTTACAAGTATATATACTTGTTTGTTATTTTAGTGTGTTTCCCCCTTTTTTTTTTTTTGCTCTTCAATATCGTTAATATTCTTTTCGCTAATCCAACGATTGTCTCCTGATGAGATGTTGGTTGAAAGGGCCCTAGAGACTTTTAAAATTAAAATCAATGGTTTCCTTGTTTTTAAAACTATATATATATATATATATATATATATATATATATATATATAAATCAAAATTTTGCATTTCTCAATACATATATATATATGCCGACCACCTGACGATTGTGTAATTAAAAATTTAATTAAAACTAACTCCAAAGAAATATTTTTAGTTTCTTTTCCCTCGTTTACATATTATAAACGCGGTATATTTCGGTCCACCGAATGAAATAGTGTTTAATTTCACAAACCCATGAAAAACATTAAGAAATTTTTCATTCATTAGACCCAATGTACTATTGCACTTAAACAAAAAAATTAATTGAAAAAATTATTTTAAAAACTATCATTTTTAAACAAATTTTGCATTATTGACAAAATGTTACCTAAATGAACGTGCAATTACATACTAACCCACACACATATCCTTCTATATCCATATAGATGGGAATATACAGTGCTGTGCAAATTTAAGTGAACCCTAAAAAAATATTTTTAAAAATTGTCTCTTTTTCCATATGATCAACACATCTCAATTAAACTATACATTCATTAAGAAAAACCTTTATTAAATCATATACAACCACTTTCAATGGTTTTTATCAAACTAGAATAAAAATATTTATTAAAAATTAAGAAATGCAAAAGTATGTGAACCCTTACGTTTACATTCTGTATTTTTTTTTTATATATTAAGAAATTACTTTGATTGCACAACTTGGAGTTTAATACGTTCTACATTCTTCGAGTGCAATTTTGGTGTTAACACCGCTTATATAATACTTCTGTTTATTTCGATATATTTTATTGCAGGATTGGATTATTATTATTTTTTAAGTGAATTTTAGTTTAATTTTGAAATTGAATTTAGGCGCAGATTAGCGTTTAAGATTGAAAATAAAGTTGGAAATAAGAATTATAAATTTTGATTTGAAGATGATTTTCATATATCAAGAGCAAATTTAGGGAAAATATGACATACATAGATACATAAATATAAGTACATATGTACGTTAGCATAAATAGCGTTCATATAAAGATCAACAATATGTGGCGACAGTCTTTTTCATGCTTGAACTCAATCTTCTGTCCAGTGTCTGAATATTGTGTTCAAGCATTAAACAAACTGTGATCTCTCGGTATTTATATCTATAATCATCATTGCTCTGAAGAGACATCGCTCATAGAAGAAGAACAATTAAAACAACAACACTTTCTTTCTTTCTACATTTTCTTTTATTATTTATTTAGATTTATAGCATTAAACAAAGTGTCCTCACTCGGTGCTGATCTTTGTGTACACGCTGCTTATATTTATATACGCTATATACTATAGATATCAAGCAACTTTACCCCACACCTTAAAACTTGTCACCTGTCTAGTACTGCGCTTAAATTAATATCTTGGTAACATAGCTAAGAATTCATCCGAACAGTTACCCTGAAAATAGTTATAGAAAATGAAACAGGGAATCTACATTACCAGAGTTGCCAGGTCAAGGCCAATAATATTGCTGATTCTTATAAAGAATCTATAAATATACAGCAGCAGCATTGGACCATAATTAGCAACAATGTTCAAAGCAAAGACGAAGTTTTAGCGAAAACCAAAACACAAAAAACCCCCCAAAAAACCCTTATACTTAGCATCAGGAAGACACAGTTGAAATTTCTAGGACAATTAATGACAAGAGTAGACTAGGAAAGTTTGATACACTTATGACAGATTTAAGGTAAGATTTACAGAGGAAAAAACGGCATAACCTACATAGCGAGCTCCAGTAAATATCTATCTATCTATCTATCTATCTATCTATCTATCTATCTATCTATCTATCTATCTATCTAAGTCTGTTCATGTCGATCTATCTGTCTGTCTAGCTTCTTCCATTGGTATCTATCTATCTCAGTCTACTCGTATCTCTCTCTCTCTCTCTCTCTCTCTATATATATATATATATATATATGGCTAAAATAAACCTACGACAACGTAGAAAATTATCGTTTGACGCATTTCGTCCCCTTCATTGCTTAATCCAACTAATGTTTAATATATATATATATATATATATATATATATATATATATATATATATGTGTGTGTGTGTGTGTGTGTGTGTGTGTAAGTGTATAATATATATATATATATACATACACACACATATATATATATATATATATATATATATATATATATATATCCGTCTCTTCTACTCTAATAGTTTCATATCTCGCACCTCTCGCCTGTGGAACTCCCTTCCCTTCTTCTGTTTCCTATAATCTCCAGCTATTCAAGTGTAATGTCAATCGACATCTCCAGTTGCCTTGATCTATCCACTACCCTCATCCTTTCTTCTATCACTCCTATCTGATCTTACTCTAAATTTTCTGTAACCCCTTGCGTCCTAGTGGCTTCCCGCCTTGCTTGGGGTGAAATGCTTAAAAAAAATAAATAAATAAAAATATATATGTACATAATTGTAAGAACAGCTGAATTTTGTCTTTCTTGAAAATTTAGCAACTTATAATTAAAAATTTGGTGAAATTAAAAAATAATTTAAATCAACAATCGCTTAAAATTTTATACATTATTATTAAATTGTCACCACCATTTTTTTTAAACAAAAATTGACATTACTATTTGCCTTTGCTTACAAAACTAAGTGAATTTGAAAAAGGTCAAATCATCGCAACTCAAAAATGACAATTTGAGTAGAAGAGAAATTGCCGTTAGGATTAAGCGTTCAAAAACGTTTATTAACAGCTTTTTATCAAACCCGAAAGAATATGAATCCAGGAAAAGAACAGGAAGAAGCAAGAAATTAAGTGACTGGGATTTCAGAGCGATCAAAAAAGAAGCAATGCTGTCACATCGTGTTCCAAGATCCAGGCAAATCAGGAATTGGGTGCTTCACGCTGGACGGTTTGATGAGAACTTAACAGATCGTCTGAGTTCAGTTATGGCAAGCTTATGAACGCTCCATGTTTAACCGATCACCATATGTCAGAGTGCTTCAATTGGGCCAAAACTCTTTTGACTTGGGTCAAACAGTAGAAAGGTGTGTCATTTTCTGATGGAAAAAAGATTAATTTAGACGGTCCGTATGGATTATCTTATTATTGGCATGACTTTAGAAAGCAAAAGTTTGTCATTTCCAAGCGTGTGCAAGGAGGAGGGAGTGTTATGATTTGGGCTGCACTCTGATTCGTAGTCAAAACTCCAATAATTTTCATTGACACAAGAACTGATGCTTTGGGATGATCAGAATTTGCTATCTACTGCTCTCTTGACTTATGGGAAAAAAAAAAACAAAAATTGGTGATCGAAATTGGCTGTTTTAGCAAGACAACACTATTGTTCACAAAGTCAAGTCCACTATGGAATGGTTTCATGCTAACTGAATCAATGTTATCGATTGTCCCGTCAGATCATCCGATCTCAATCCTCTCAGGAACCTGTAGGGGATATTGGTTAGACGAGTATACAAGACTGGACATCAATTTAATAACAAGGAAAAGGTCGAAAGTGAAATTTTGAAAGCCTGGGATTCAATTAACCAAAACGACACCCAGAAGAAGTTAATCTATTCTATGAAAAATAGAGTGCTTGAAATAGCAGCCAACCACGGAAAACAAACTAAATATTAATTTCTATAAATTTTTAGTATTTGTCACCTTGTAATAAAATTTTTTAATGGCCTTATGCACCAATCGTTTTTCGAGTTTTTGAATAATTTTACTATAACTGATTTTCTACTCACAACAATTATTTGAAACTTTCAGATTATTAATACTATGTAATAACATAAAAAATATTGAAAAATTAGATCAAATGTTAAATTGATCACACACACACACACACACACACATATATATATTCTATACTAGCAGTAGAGCCCGGTGTTGCCCGGGGATGTAACAGTAAAAGATAGATCAAGTATCGACCATCATAAAGACTGAAAAATAAAATTGACAAAGATTATTGTTTAAGGTTGACGGACACGCATGTCTTAATTAGCTTTTTTCTTCTTTTTTTTACGAATTGGTCAAACCTAAACTCAAACAAAAACATTGTTTTCAACCGTTATGAGTCTATCGATTGAATAGAATTTTATTATAAACAATTGTCTTGTAAATGGAATTTTTAAAGCATTTTGAATGTAAAAATAAAGAAAAAAGTGTGCAAGACAATAAGAAACACTACCTGCCAAAAAAAGTGAAGTTTTGTTGTAATCGGTTGAAAAATGTAGGAAATCCGATCCCATATATAAATGAACACACACACACAACCTGGGTTTTATAATAAGTATAACTCGATATGAGTTGTCCCCCTTTCATTCACGCGATGCCTCTTAATCGTGTTTTCAAATTGATTTTGTGCAAAAACAATTGTGTTTTTTCCAATTTTGTGTGCTGTCAGAACCACCGCAAGGTAAGTTTACGCAGTCTTGTGAAGTTTTGTTGAAATCGGTTGAAAAATTTAGGAAATCTGATCCAATATATAAACGTACAAACGCACACACAACCTGGGTTTTATAATAAGTATGATATATTTTATACATGTGCAATGCTTATTGGAAAGCGATCAATATTATTGATAGAGATAACATATTTAGATGAATGGGTATTAATTTGTTACCCTGGGTTTCACGCACTTGTGATCCTCAGTGAGGCTCGCGTCATAAAATCATATGATCCATTCAACTATATATATATATATATATATATATATATATATATATATATATATATTCTCATTCATTTTTCCAGAAGACGAAAATTACAAAGAACTATAAAGAAAAGGTACATAATAAATATTCACGGCTTTCTTAAAATTCACTCATTTTCATTCTTTTCTTTACTCACGAGAAACACCAGCTCAGGGAAAAAAGTACTATGAGTCATTATTGTAAGCATAGACACAAATGCACTAAGAGACGTTTCTTCCTTTCGTTTTTGTATGTGGTGAAGCTTAGAAAGGGGAAACGCGTAATCAAATCTAGTTTCAATGAAATGTTTTTCATTTGTCAAATTTCTTACACACACACACACACACACACATATATATATATATATATATACTACACATTTTCAACTTAAAAAATAAAGGTAATATATGTTGTACTTTCTAACGTATATATATCAGATATTGATCCTCTGTGAATTCGAATGCAATAAGATGTTTAAAATTGCTTTTTTTAAAATCAAATTTTAATTAGTTTAAAATCACTGTCATTAGAATGCTTTTAGCGCAAATGTCCATTTACAGATTTTAAATCGATCGTCAGATATTTGTGTAGATGCTAATTTTCGTTCGTTGGATAGTAAGCATCTACTTTACCCACTACCTTCCATCCATATTTTTTTTTAAATAACAGAAACCATGGATTTTTTCCCCATATCTTCATTCCTGAAATAATTACTTCTATCTTAACTCAGCATGCATGACTATACAAATTATAGAAAATTTTAAAAGAAAAAGGTTAAATCCTGAACCCCCCTGTTATTTAAAAAATATATAATACATAAATTTAATCCTATTCTAAAATAAATTAAATAATAATTGCACAAAAATTCAACATCATTTAGTCATTGTAGTTTATTAGACATTAAATTACATCATTAGCATCCTCCATAATCTACCTATACATTTCAGGTAACCCGATGAATATTTATGAGCGTCTTTTAAATTTAGAGATTCTGGAAAACATTTTCTCTTTTATTTATAAATATGTAATGTCAAAAAAATTCATCACATTTGCCTTTTGTAAAGTCCATCAGATGATGAAACTGAATATATATATATATATGTGTGTGTGTGTGTGAAAATAAAGAAAAAATTAACCTATCTTAAAAACAAGTTTCCTTTTATCATATATATATATATATATATATATATATATATATATATATATATATTATATATCTAAATATATATCTTATATAAATTCAAGCCAAAAGATTGCGTCTTTGTATTTTAGATTTTTTTACGCCCCATCCCTGATAGTGAAACTTTTGAGTAAATATGCTTTTATATATATATATATATATATATATATATATATATATATATATATATATATATATATACCATTCCAAAATTATAGGAACGGTAAGGCTAATTCATTTGAAGAATTTGTTCAAAGATCAAATGGTGGTTAGGAGACATTGCTTTTATTTTTCGTGGACAGCCACATCATGATTGTGATGCTCTCATGCCAAGGACTGCCATTAATAAATAATTTGTTGCACAGTAGAGAAGTAAAACTCCACATCATTTTGATAGCTTTTTGTAGCCTTTTCCAACATTATAGTTTTTTTAAACCTTCAAGTTCTTTTGAACTTTGCATATATATTTGTTTAAATTTAGTCTCTAACTGAAAACATTTGGCATGCAAAATGAGTTATATTGTTTGACTGCAATATACACAGATTACTAAAAATAAGAACACGCGTCATTTTGATTTTTACAAAAATTATTTGCACTGGCAATCATGTAAAAGAAAAATACAGAGTGTAGATATAAGGCTTCACTAACTTTTTTTAGATCTTAATTTTTATTTAATATTCTGATACCAGCTTGATAAAAATATTTGTAAGTGGTTGTAATTGATTTAATAAAGGTTTTTCTTAATGGATATATAATTTAATTAAGATTTTTTGATTATCTTGAAAAAAGTGAAACTATCAGGTCATCCCATAAGTTCTGTCCGAATTTTAAATAAAGAAAACAAGTGACCAAATGTTAGATTTAATTACAGATTCAATCAACAATGTATTTTCCCTGATTATCTATGACTTCCTTCCATCTGTTAACAAGCTTACTAATTCCATTACTGTAAAATTCTTTTGGCTTTTATTCGAAGAACTCACAAATGTCAGTTTTAACCTCTTCCTGTGTTACAAAAG